TTATTACCAATATATCATATATGTATTGCTCGGGGTCCTTATCTACATTTTTTTATAGGGTAATTAAATCATTATGCGACTTAAAAAAATTTAATAATTTTTTAATATGGGATTTCTACCAACCATTTTTAGTTTATCATTAGTAAATATGTTAAAAAATTTTATGGATTTGTTAATAATAGGTCGTAAAAAGTTCTAAATTTATTTTTATTAATCTTTCGTAAGAATAGTGTTCCGAAAGGGTCGAGTCGGGTCGGGTTTGAGGATGTATTCGAACTCGACCCGTGTATAAAAACCAACCCGTACAAATACCCGGGTTAATATTTACATGACTCGACCTCTGACCTGACCCGATATAGTTTAACCCTGGATAACCTGGGTCCAAATAAAATTTTCAGATGTTCAGCAAAAACAATAGTATATTCACGTCGCACAACTCAGTTTTATTTTAAAATTTTTATTGTAAAATTTAAAATATATAATTTTTATTAAATCCTCCTTATGCCCAGCCTGATTTCAAATACATACACGCGCGATTTGTATTTGATTTTAGATTGCTTCTTTTGTCCGGTTCCTCCAGCAACTGGAACACTTGCAATTACAGGTAAAAAAAAAATTTAACCAATTTTAATATTATTCAATGATTACAAGATAAATCTCTTGCCTTTTCTGCCAGGTGTGAAACTGTGAATACTCTACTTTATTTAACTACGGTATATATTTTCATAACGAATTAATAAAATCTAATAAAATATACTAATTATTATTAAAACATATACCTTCCATCATAGTAGAACATCTTGATTTCGATCTGCTCAAGGGTTAAGTACTTTTCTAGACTTCTTAAATAAACAAAGTTAGAAACTAAAAATCGTGTAACGTAAACGTTTTAATATAAATATCTGATTAAACCCGGGTAAGCAAAGGTGTGACCCTGACCCGACGGGTCGGGTTGAATATAAGACTCGTGTCAAATAATGATAAACCCGATTCGGATTTTAAACACGGGTCGGGTCAAATGACCCGGTTTGACCCGACCCTTTCGGAACACTACTTAAGAATGTCTTTAAATTTATTTTTATTAATCGTTCGTAAAAGTGTCTTTAAAATTATTTTTTTATTAATCGTTCATAAAATTGTTTTCAAAGTAAAAAGTATTTTTATTTATCAAATTATTATAAATTATAATGAATTTTTTTTATTTAATTATATTGGCCAACGCTTGACCTGTCTCTTATACACATCTAGATGTGTATAAGAGACAGATGCAAGTATGCCCACAAATTTCCTTTACCATCTGTTTTAACTAAAAAAAGGATTATTTTTTTTAAATAAAATTTTTTAAAAAAAATACGTTTAAAATTAGTATTATATAAAAAACTGCATGTAAAATTAAAATTTATTTTTTTAATAAAATATTTATAATTATCAAGGTTCATACTCCAGGAAAGAGTTAGGATAGGAACAAATCGATCAAAAAGAAATTTATCAAACTTACGATCTAAAAATAACGAAAAAACGGTCGGTAAAATTAACCGAAACCCAATGATCGACCGTTACCATCTCGTGACTATCTACCGCGAAGATATAATAAAATTGGATTATAAGTCTGGTTTTAAAAAATTAAATATCTTAATAAAAATAAATGATTAAAATTAACTGTCAAATGTACACTTTTTTAAAATTTAAAAAATTTATACAAACGTTGCTCGTTAATGATTAAGACGTTAATTAAATTTATTATTGAATATGTGGGATTTTAATGATATATCCATCAATATTGAAGCAGTACTAGTAGGAGTAGCATTAATTCCTATTGGCCACCGCAGTATTTCTATAATAACTCATTTATTGGATGGGGAATATCGGTCAAAAGACCGATATCTATATTTCCCATCTAACAAATAATACCTAATAAATGTTTCATTGTTACAAATAAATAAACAAAATCTTTTAATTTTTATAATTTTTTTTTTTTTTTATCACTCATTGTAAAATATGTATTGAACTATTCCCAAAAAATCGGAATCTCATCACTAAAACCTTATCCTACATGTATCGATATATTGCCATTGCATGAAATCCGATTTCGTCCAAGTTCATCTGTTAAATAAATAAATAAATAAATAAAAATTTTAAAAAAAGGAAATAACTAAATTTTAATAGTTTAAATTAATACTTTTTTTAGTGATTCAACCAGAAAATTCCAATTGGAATATTCTGATCGACCGGGTAAATTTTTAACAAGGACGATTTTTCTTTTTTTCTTTTTTCTTTTTTTTTACGAGAAAAAAAAAAAAAAATTCTTTATATATATATTCATGATAATCCGAATAATATAAATATTTTTTTATTATGAATATTAAGGTAGACATCATATACAAATATTTCACGGTCAGTATTAAATAGTAATGTTGGCCGGAATTATCCGAAGCAAAAAGACAACAAAGGAAAGAATTACATAATTTGTTGGGCCTGATCTTTTGGTCCTAGTCCAGATGATTACGTAAGGTATCTTTGCATATTCGTTCCGTCTAGATGTTACTAAAAAAAAAAAAAAGATGTTGTGTAATGAAACTTGTATGGAAATCGTGATTTGTATGACTTTGTTGATCCAAAGAAAAAATTTATTTTTTAACGATTATCTTTGAACACCAGTAAATACCAAAAATAAATGACTCGAGGTTTACCGAAACCTAGATGTTTGTACTTTACGTGTATTAATATAAATATATTAAAATAAAAATTGTCTCATCGAATCAAACCACTTCTTCAAGTATTTATATAGTAGTTAGTTTATGCAATAGCCAATCGTTTTAGATTGGTGAAACAGAATAATCTGATGAGAAGTCAGAACAATATCAAGACTATATAAGTTGAGGTGTTACCATATATTTAATTAAATAAAAAGAGGCTATGTAAATTTCCCAAAAAAAAAATTATTAATGTTCTCTAATCATTGAATATTTATTATGAGCCCCTTTTGTTATACAATTATTATCCAATCTTCGGTTTTTTAAAATAAATTAATGAAACCGGTATTTAACATGCATAGACCATATCTTCTCATTCATTATATGTTATCAAATAATAATTCGAATATTTATTATAAAAAAAAAAATAAAGACAAACAAATGTCACACAACTGAAAACTTCTAGAATTTTTTCTCTGACAAAAGAAGACCGTCAAAACCTTTATAATATATAAAAATAATTATCTTATTAAGATAATAAGATTTTTTAGCGCGTTTTTTCTTTTCGTGCAACTTGTATCGTATATTTGCTTAAATATTTAAACGTAATTTCTCGTATATATTCGCACTGAAAGCTTCCGTATACGTTTTATATATTTCATTCATCGGATTATCCCGTTTGTAAAAAAGTCAAAATCATTTTCTTTTTTATTGCTCTATTCTCATTATTAATCTTATTATGAAATAAATAAATGATACCTATAATTCACAAAATGAATTTTTTTATGGTACTAAGGCTTGATTTTTATATTTTCGGAAACGTGAGTTGCATGACTTTTGACGATTCTACAAAAAATTTTTTTGATGATTTCTCGACGATCAAATGATCTTTTCAAGGCAACGCTTACCGAACCTTGTTAATTAAATATGTTTGTGCTTCACATAAATCATAATTAATTAAATTATATACATTTTGACGTAAAAATTATTAAAATGCTTTAATATTTTACATAATATCTATGCTAATATGCAACCATTTTAATTGGTGAAACAGAATGATCTAATGAGAAGTTAGAACAATAAAATGACTAAATAAGTTAGGGTATTACCATAATTTAAAAGAGGATGCAAAAATTTAATAAATTTTGTTTATCATTGATTACTTGTCCAATCTTACGGTTTAAAATTGCATAAATGAATGAAACCGGTATCTTACATGCATGGACGTATCTTCCCGATTATTATATAATTTTACATAATATTAAAGTGATTATTTCAAATATTCAAAACACAAATAAAAACATCCCAAATGATAAAAATATTATAATAATATAAAAAAATTATGAATTTGGAATTTTAGTACGGTCTATTCTTTTCGTATCGTATAGGTTAATATATATATACATAAATTTTTAAAAAACGTAATTGTTCAAAATAATCGCATATATATCTCATATATCTTAATATTATCCTATTTGTAAAAATCAAATCTAATTATGAGTCTCATTATTTCTTCTTATAGTACCAATAAATGATATTAAATGAATTTTTTCATGATACTAGCGCTGATTCTTATATCGTATCATTTTCATTGAGACGATCCTATATAAAAAATTTTTTAATGATTGTCTGTGACAATCAAATATCCTTTACGAGGTAAGCTTTACCGAAACTTTGTTATTAAAGATATTTGTGTTTCAACATGAATTAATACTAAATACGTAATTTAAAAAGTTCTGTTAAATAGAACGTTTTAATATTTTACAGTAATAAACTTATGCCAATCATTTAAATTTGTGCGACGGAAACATCTAAAAAGAAGATAGAACAATCGAACAAATAAGTTGAAGTGATACAATGTTTAAAAAAAGATGCTTATACAAATTCCCAAAAAAAACTTAACTACTTTCGCGCCCCTTTGCTTATACAATTACTTATCCAATCTATGGTTTTATGCATATCGGCTGATTGGAAAAATCAACCCAATTAATATTTAAGCTCAGTTGATGGGTTCATTATATAACTGATGGGTTACTTATCGTCATTAGCATATAAAATTATGGGGGGCTTTTCTGATCAGCCGATATGGGTATATTCAAAATTGCATAAATGGATGAAACCTGTATCTAACAATCTTACATGCATAAATCGTACCTTTTCATTCATTATATGATTTTACATAATGTTAAAGTGATTATTTCGAATATTAAAAAATACAAACAAAATAATTATACAAACAGATGAAAATAGTTAGATTTTTTTTTATACATATATAAAACTATGTAATTTAACAATATTTAGAATTTTAGCGCGGTCCTTTCCTTTCGTGCAATTCGTATCGGATTTAATATATACATTCTCTTAAGTATTTAAATGTGATTGCTCGTACCCTCGCGCCACATACATCTCACACAATAACTCGCCTACCTTATTTATCAAATTATTCCGTTTATAAATAAAAATTCAAACTCAATTCGTCATATTATTCTAACCCCGCCCCTTTATACCAATAAATAATACAATATGAATAATCCACCAGATGGATATAGTACTGATACTGTCATGGCTGACTTTTATATCGTGACAATTATCCCTTTAACATTGAACATATTGAATTTATTGGGAAGTTCTTATATATTTTACCGTATGTAATTTAAATAGTTTAAATCATGTTGGATCTTTTTTTTTTGAATTTATTAATCACTTTTAACGCAATGAATAAATAAATTAATGAATAAAATTTAGGTACTTACTTACGATGGAAATTTGATTATGATAATTTTAATTTATTATCGATTAAATTTCCATTCTATATAGCGATTACGGGTAAAGACTACTAATTGTTTTAATTCTATATTATATATTTGCGTACATATTTTCAACTAATTTTATTTTTATAATATTTAGATTTTTTATTTTCAGAAATAATTTTAATTGATTTTGTGAGTAAAATTATTTGTCAATTATTATTATTATTATTTTTTTTTAAGCTGATCATTCACTTTTCTATAGTCGTACACTGTTTCAAATGTATCGGTATTGGAAACTTTCGGTGAACCTATCGTATGGCCAACCCCATTTTGTGAAATTCTTGGATTTTTTAATGTCTCATTCACTCTATTAAATATGTTATTGGTAAGAAAAATTAAATTATTTTGCTATTAATTTTAATTTAATTTTAATTCAATCCCGTTTACAATAATTATTTTATAGGTCGGTAGCATATCTTTCGTAACTTGGTTAAGAGTGGTACAAGAATATTATTTTGATTGGGGAAAATGTGATTACAAAATTTGGTTTCCGGTCGGCTTTCTATCGTTCATCATTCCTATGGTTTCGGTGCGCGATTTAGGTGCTAAAAAATATTGGTAAGTTACGTAAATAATTTCGTTATAAGCACGTGACACTCATTTATTTATTTTTTCATATTTAAAGGTGCGGAATTAAAGACGGCAGTAATTCATTAATATCAACGTTATTATTAATCACAATTCTCCTTACGTTATTGACTATCGTATTCTGTTATGTGCACGTGTTAAAAACATTTCATGATGTCAAAGATGATAATTCATCATCTATTGCGCATTCGGAGGTCAATGTGGAACAACGTAACAGTCGTAACATTATTGAAAAGAAAATTTTAGCCAAAGTATTGACATATATTTTAGTCTTCATTTTTCAATATATTCCTCTCATGTTAAATGATATTTTTGAATTAGTAAAGGTAAAACCTAATTTTTTTTAATAATTTTTGGGAGTGAAATAAAAAGTATTAATGATATTTCTTTTAATTTTAGGTTCACTATATTTTGCTTAATGCCATCAGTCTGTCAGGTAAAATATATATATATATATTTCTTTTATGACATCAGTTACAATTTTTTTCTAATATTCAAAAAAAAAAAAAAGAAAATAATAATTTTTATTTTTATTTTTATTTTTATTTTTTAGCCATTAGTATTGGAGGAATAAGTAATTTGTTCCAGTATGTACGCAATGAAAGATTTTTAATAATACCTAATAATTCTATTTTAAATGGTTCTGACTCTTTAAATAATAATATCAACCTTGAAGAGAGAGAACAAACAAAAAGTTTAAATTAGATTAAATTTGATCTAAGTCAATTTTTTTTTTTTTTTTTAAAAAAAAAAAATTAATTGTATTATGTTTTTTTCTTTTTCTTTTTACATAAGCACATTTTAATTATAGCGGAAGGTTAAGTTTTAAATAAGTTTTTTTAATGTAAATTTTTTTAAGTTTAGACTGTAATTAACAATAAACTACCTCTTATGATTTGATTATATAAACGTCTTAACACGAGGCGTTATCTTACACTTTCTTGTATCAGGATTATGAAAATTTCAAGTGCATGTTCTACTTCGATCCTTGTCTGCCTTAAAATCATCGGCATACATGCATAAAGACCAGATGTGAATAAAATATTTGTGTCTACCTTAAGTCTATTGTCGGTCATCACGAGCGAGCAAATTATTGGGAATATCAAGGTGAACGTTCAAATGACGGACGTGCTCAGCTGACAGTTGATTTGACGTCTCTAATTTCTTTAAATTGCAATTTTAAACGCATTTTAAATTTTTAAGTGTATTTTTTCTTTTTTCATAGGGCGATTAGGACGTCAACTGTTAAAGATGTCATACGCGTTAATTACCTATATTCTGAAAAAATTAAATTATAGATCTTTGGACGATTTTACTATTGTAATATATGAACCTAAATATAACTAAGGAGGAGTTATTCCAAAAGTTTCACAAAAAGAACTGGATCCACGAGACCGATGAAATCGATATCGATGAAGTTGATGCTGTACTTTTAAGAAGCCTGCAGCTGATCCTGGTGCGTTAAATCGATTTCTAGCAGAAATAAGGGGAGTACCTGTAGAAGTTAATCTGGCTCCCAAGATTACACTAGGATTTATATTTATAGTTGGTGTATTTTATTTGTTTTTGTTTGATTACAAAGTGGGAGGGTTTTGGGCTTGGGAATTCAGTCAATAGAATGAACGCGCGTAAAGTTTCTTCTAATTTATTGATTCTGATTTTAATGGTGGTTCGTAAAAGTAATTCCGAATTACTGTATATTTAAGACAGTTAGAGATATTTCGGACTTATTGCTAATAATATCTTACGATAGTAAAGTTCGAAGGTTTAAAAGATGTAATTCATTTTCACAACATTTAGATGACAATATATATTTTTTAACTCGGTAATATAGATCGTTGTTAAGAAGCCTACCGGTTTGTTAAAGTATTACATTATTATTAAGTTGCTTTTGACTCATTTAGAGATAGATTATTAAGGTAGTATTATAAATCCGATATTATAAATCTGATTATTATAATTATTTTTCGAAATAATTAGGTGGTATACACATTTATAATGCGTCGTATTTTTAAACGTAGTACTGTATATAGTTCAAATACTTTATATAGCATAATATATAGATATATCAAGCTGCTTTCATTTTTTTTTTTATTAAAATTTTACTTAATACTGTATACTATTATGCAATGAATAACCCTATTTATGGAACGAACCTCAAAACCTTATAATTGTCCTTAACAATTATTAGTGAAAATTTATCAACATAAATAATGTTGCTTGATGTAATTTAAAATTATTATACATGATAAATTTTCGTATAAAATGAATTTTTTTTAACAAATAAGAGAAGACAAGAACGAAAAGAAAAATCTTTGTGACGTGTACTAATAACGGTCATATTTCTTTCACAATTAATTATATTAGTAATAAATTTTAGTATTAAATATAATCCGGATTTTTTAAAGTATGCAATAGATTGAAAAGTGGTAAAAAATTTTACTAAGGTTATGATACTGAAAATAGTATTATTTTTCCCGAATTCAATTAATTGTATGCCAATTTCCAGAACTGGATATTATCCTGAAACAGACAATTTCTTGAATCCTTATTTACCGAACCCCTGAAGCAATCTCAATATCCATTTACAGTTTATAATTAAAAGAATTATTGCGTCATAAATTCGAATATATTTGTTGTGCCTCAGGTGTCGATTTACGTCAGCTGATAATTGACGCGCGTCACCTGTATCACACAATAAGGTCTTCCATAATAAATTTATTTAAGGCTGGAAATTTTAATGTTTAATTATATCTTAATGTTATGTGACAAATGACGCACGTCAGCTATCAACTGACGCAAATCAACACCTGAGGCACAACATATTCATTTGGTTATTAAATTTTAAAAAAGTGCAAATTATGAAATAACATTTATTGGAAATAGGGCAGGAACTGGGTTTAAATAAATGATATAAATTTATTAACACATTTCAATTTACTAAATTTACTACTTTATTCTGTTTGGAAAATACAGTAGTATTATACATTTATTAATTTCGCATTATACATATAGGAAAAACACTTTATCAAGTATTCTAACTTTATATTCTAAATCATAGCTTTTTTCCATATTGATACTTATCTATAGTTTTAATTTTTCAATATAAAGTCAAAAAAAATATCGTGGTCATCATGTGATTCCATAATGCGCAGAAAATTCAGTTCAAAAATTGATATCACGCTCATGACTGACCGAAATTACGTTTTATGGCCAAAATTATAAATTATATCGAATAAAAAGAAGAAAGTTTATTTTAACAATTTTATAACTATTTAAACTATTTACATAATCAGGCATTTATATGATTATTAAAAGATCATTTAGTGGCCATTTAGCACGAAGATGATTATTTGATCAATATTTTAAAAAATCTCGTGATTTTTAACCAATCAAACTATTGAACCAACATTATATATCCAAGTGTGGTTGGAGAAGTATTATCGTTATGAAGAGGGCCAGTTCAAGAAATTGACATTTAGATAATTTACTTCGGGAAAACTGAAGGTGTAATTAGAAAAATGGCATTTAGGAAATGGTTCAGATAATAAAAAAAGATTCACCAATTAAAATAATCAGTCGATACCGGATTACTCTTGTAGAGTATAGTTTTTAGTTGAAATTTAAATATTTAGTTAACTCTGTCCGGAATTAATTACAATTATTTATCCGATTGAGGCCGCTACAAACCTAGAGAATCACGCAAATGACGCGAATAATAAATGATCAAAATTATCATAATTTTGACCAGAATTATAGTCATCATGTGATTTGTGATTTATAATTCTGGCCAAATTTTATAATTCCAGTCTAAAATTATTTGTACTCAAGGGAATTATGTTAAGTGAAGCAGTAAACTTTGTGGCTAGCACTACACAGCCGTAAAAGCCGCTGATCGCTTTTAAATTTTTTTTTTTTCAATAACTTTGAAAAGTCTTCACATAGATTCTTTTAAAAAACAAAAAAAAAATTTATTTGAAATAACTTTGAAAGTTTTCATATATATTTTTAAAAACCAAACAAAAATTATTTATTTTTGTTGTATAATGAACTATTTTATTTTATATATCTGATATAAATAGCAACAATATTCCCGTACTGCCGTACATATCCATCAAGACACTTTTAGTGTGATTTTTAAAAATTTTCTTTAATTTTTTCATCATTTTCCCTAATAAACGTATGTCAAGATTCAGGGAATCAGAATTTCTTTTTGGCATAAAAAAGAGTTCTATTTTTGCTTATTTTTGATTATTTTTTGTTATATTATATGTGAAAGATGGGTAAATATTATAATTTAAAGGATACAAATAATGACATGATCAAGTCATCAATGAAAAAAATGAACTTGCGATCCAACTTAGAAGCCTTCCAGCACACCCTTCAGGAAACTTAGAAGATTTAGAGCGAACTCTAAAGCAAAATTCTGAGTACCTCACAGAGTTAATAAAATCATTCGGGTTCACTTTATCTCTTAACCAACTTGAATATAACTTTCAGGCTTGCCAATTGCTATAAGATGGTCAACATGCAAATTAATTGAATTATAACAAATATGAGATTCTAACAAATGTCAAAATGTCATATAACACCATCATATTACTCAAAATTAACAATATATTGGTCATCTACATACGAAAATATTCATTTACATTATTAGTAATAAAGAAAATCAGAATGTGATGAAAAGTTTGCTGATCAAAAAATAAGAACTTGGAAGAGGTTACAGCCAGTCTATCTGTTAAAAATAATAGATTACTTAGTTATAATCCTAAAAATATATAGTATTTTCTTTTAGAACTGGAATAAATAGATCAATCAAAATATCAAGGTCATTTATTGCAAGATAGTTGATGATAAGTGTTGCTAAACCACTGCTAAACTGGTTATGGACTTTAAAAACCTGCGACTGGTAAATATTCTTCATATGAATTAAAAATGTTTAATAAAAATTGACATTTTAAATTACATACCATAATTATAATAAATAATTTGATGATTAATTTAATTAAAAAATATCATAAATTTTGTTTTCTTATATACTAATGAAAAGTTTCAATTTTTTCTTGTAGAAGTTAATATTTTATACCGTATTTGAAGATAGATGGGGCATACAGAAAAAAGATATTACAAGGAATAAAGTGGTTTGTCCTAGTAGGAGAAGGATTTTTATATTGTGATAACATTAAAGTGAAAGAGAGAAGAAGGGAAACGTATTCACTCACCACCTAAATACGAAAGAGAAAAAGAATAAAAGAAAAGGAAGCGTGCCCACACATCTACCAAGGAAAAGAGCTATAAGAGAAAGGAAAACATAACTCACCTAAACAAGAAAAGGGAAAGAAGAAATAATATAAAAACTTACAAATAACAAAAATAAAGTAAGAAGTAACGAAAATAAATTAAAAAATAACAAAATATGTAAAATTGAAAAAATAGGCATTTTTATACAATGATATATGAATTATGCGTCATAAAAAATAAACAATCCGTCTCAAGAAAAAAATTATTCATTGAATGGAAAGAATTCTTTTCCAATAAATAAAATATCAAAATAAAACATAAAATTGATTTGCATCTTTATTTATTTAGAGTGATAAAATAAATGTATTGATTGTTTGTTCAAAAATAAATAGCACTATTGAACTGAAGGCTGAAGCAGGTATCGCAAATCAAATAATTTTTACAAGTCTGCAACTCTTCTTTGTCATTCATACCTTGCAGTTTTAGAATTAATATTAGAACCAACAAGTAATTACTAAAGTTATATAATATTATATGAACTATTCGGGTTTCTTCAAATACTTGTGAAGAGGTTTTCTCTTCTTCACAGCATTACGAGATAGTCCTGAAGAAAATAATATTTTTTGAGGATTGTTTTCATTGTTATCGTGTTTGATGGTTCACAACTTCACATGCTTCATTTAGTGTAATATCTCTTACTTTCTCCAAGATCGTCCAGAATTCGCGGACTTAAAATTAGATTAGTTTGATGGTCCTTTTCAAAAAAAGAGGTAACGTTAGATCAAAGCAAAGAACAAAATATGGAAGAAACTTTTTGTGAAATGCTAAAAATGGTTTCAAAAGGCACTGCAGACTAAACCTGTCAGATCCTTCAGAATTACTAGCACTATTGACAATTAGGATTGGAATCGCATAAACCCATTTGGCTTTAAAGCAATTTCCAATGCTTCCTACTAAGTGCTGATTCTGCTAAAATTAGAAACCGATTTGATGTCAGGTTGACCGTTGATCGTCTATAAAGAAAATCCTGAAAAGATTCGATTTTCGATTCCATCCTTATTGTCATGCTACACTACTGAAGCGTCTTTGTTAGACACTAAAAACTCTTTGACTATTGTAAGGAACATAGCCAATTCATCCTCCAGAATCAACCGACCTTACAATAGGTGCAACCCAAAGAACTTTTGCATTGTAACTGAAGAGCTCCAGCTGAAACCATAAGATTTGTGCATGTACATTAAATAAAAAATTTATTACATGCCTTAATGCCCTTTAATAATCGTTTTACGCTTATTTGCTCCTCCTCCTCATCATTTTTATTTACGAGAGTGTTTAGTATTTCTTCTAGTTGACGAGATTCATCCATAAAGGATATTTTGAAATCTGGACGGGCGGTTTTGCCGAAAATAATCCATGACAACATCCCATTTATACTATGAAAAATTATGGCGTTTTTGATTAGTGATTGATTGTGATTGATTTACGCTACGCGTGATTCGCGTTGGGTCATATGATAGATATAAACATTATTTACTCATTGAATTTTTTGATCCGATTTTATTAGTCAGATGATTCTAACAAACTTACTTATGCCAACTCATATAAAATTAGTGATGCTGACGATGCTGACTTAACTGAAACTAAATGTTAAAATTGATTTTACATTTATTGTTTTAGTTTTAGCTAGTTGTTACAATAGTTAAAAGTTGTAATAAAGTTTAAATGATAATCTATGTTTAAAGTTAAAATTCGTATGATAGCAAAGTTGTTTTCATTAATAAAACGCAGAAAGTTTCAAATGAAAAGTCTCTTTGTAATTTTCTTTATTGTTAAATTTATCATTACTGTTAAAACCTATCTGCTAAATCGGCAGTCGGAATTACTACATTCAGTTGACATTAACAAATGTTCCGGAAGCTGAATTTTTGTATAAGTGTGTATAAGGAGTGCTTTTACCACTAAAAAAAGTTGTCTTTTAGCAGAATGAAAACAGATGGGTTATATGGATATGCAAATATCCCAGGTTACGCTGGTTACGCTGGAAAAAAGCTATTTAAATCATAATTGACATATTCGTAATATCAGCCTATGTTCCGATAAAATCGAAAATTTCAAGTTAACTTTTAGTGTATATAATGTAACACAAAATTCTTGAACCCCTTTACGAGCATATTTAAAAAAGCTTGATATCCGAGTTAAAACACTTCTGAAAATTAGCGCTACTAAAATAAACAGAAATTTAGCATTTTCAAACATAGCAAGCTTTATACTATGAAAATAGATTGTTTTTCAAAAAATAATAAAACTTAATATTTTGGTGGGTGGCAATAAGTTTATAGAGAATATAAGCACCTATAGTGTAAATATTATCTTTTAAGGAACAATATGTTTACATCATATTTATAATTTAACTGAAAGATCTTTTAATTAAGTGAAATATTGTATAAAGTTTTTTTTGTTTAAGATATAGTAAATTTAAAAATTCTTTTCAAATATAAAAAAGAGAGAAATTAAAAAACTCAATCCGAATCAAATTTCTCTTTTTGTTATAAACAAAATTTCTAAATATCCTTAGTTTATTTACTTCAAAAAAAATCTTTCATTATTGATTAAATCCAATATATAATTGCCTATCACAATCAAACTTTTCAAACGTTTTAATGTAGATTCCTGATTGTCACTCCGATCGTTGTGGGCCGAAATTATGATAAATTCAAAAAAGGTAATAGTTTTCCACCAGGAATTATCTATAAAAGGAAAGATTTTCATGATTAATTGACTTTCACAGCCTTTTAACTTTTTAGGAAGCTTGACGCCAATGTATTACTGTTACTGTATTACTTAAAGTGCTGCCATTTATTAACTCTAATTTTTAGTTCATTAGTTGTGCAACGAAATAGTAAAAATTTTTTTTTTTATATTTTTCCCATAGGAAAAGATAATCCCATGGAAAGTAAAATATTTACATTTCACATCCATTTACCGGAAGGAATAGAAAAAGTCGGGCAACCCATAGTTCTCGGCAATAGAAAAGAACTAGGTTATTGGGAAAACCCTATCGTAAAACTTCGTCAACCATTCCTCGAAAGTCCAACTTATTGGCAATCTGAACCGATAACCATTTCCTTGTCCAATTTATTAGAAAAAGATGATATTATGTATAGATTTGCTATTCACGTACCAAAGAAAAGTGAAAAATTCATATTTGAAGGAAATGACGATAAAGATAATCGTATATTGGATATTGAAAGAAATAATCAATTTGCCATATGGAAAAATAACGTTATATATCTCAATGACATTCAAGATTATGCATTTGTAGATTATATTTTTAATTCTATTGGATCTTACAACCTTAAAGACAAAGTTACTGAATATCAATATTTATTATCTCTTCATAATGAGCTTACAGTTAACGTATCAAATATCGAATTCATCAACAACCATATTGATGATAAATTGAGAGAAAAACGTCTTTTTTTATGCCTTCTTCTAGGGTATCATATTTCAAGACAGGATTCGAATTATGAATTACCAAAATTCTTTCTATCTGAATTATTGCTTGATGCACTTGACAACTATAATCAGGAAAAATTTTCAGATGTAAAGGTTCAAATGCATATTGCGTTTACAACTTTAATTCAACATAACGCCTTTCAATATCAATTTAATTGGCTTAAGAAATTTGCAATAGCGGCGGACGTTGATCCTGGATATACCTTTGTCAATCGTTTAAAAGCACTAAAGTATCATGACGATGATTTATTGGCGACATTTATAAAGGAGGCGGAAATGATCAGTCCTTATATTAAGAATATTGAATTTGATATTTACATTAATCTTGCGAAGGTAAAGATATTAACTATTTATTATTACTATTATTTGTTGTAATCAGAGTCCGTCTTTTCATTCATAATTTTTCTTTTTGATAGTGGTTAATCCAATTATGCCATAATAATGACTCACTTTTCAAATTATGGAACGATATACTTTTCCATAATAGCGTAATTGATGAGAGCATTCTCAATTCCTTAATTGATCAAATTCAAAAGAATATTTCTTATGATAATGCTGTTAATTTAGAAAATCATTTTAAAAGGGTTCCAATAAATCTCCAGGGTAATGTTACTGAAGTTTTTCGAAATCATTCTTTATTTTTACTTAAAAGTCCACTTGCTAAGTGGACGGATCCGAATATTAATGCCATAAGAATGCTTATTCAAAATGATAGTTTAAATTGGAACAGAGAAGATATCATACAATTATTGGAACTTGTGTCTCAATCCTGTAATTTAGAACTATTAACTTTATTTCCTGAAATTTTGGACAACTGGTTTCGTAGGGATTTTTCAGATACAAAAGAAAAAAAGATGCCAAACATTTCTAAAAATTGGTTCATATTTCTTTTAAACAAATTAGATAGTAATAATACCAATAAAAGTATATTTATATTTTCGGTATTTCAACATTTAGAACGTATGCATCCTTTGCTTGGTCACCGGAAAAATATTTGGGAGAACTTAACAATAATTACTTTAGATAGGGTAAAGGGATGTTCAGAATCTCAGATAATTGGTGCAATAAAATTTATAGCCCAGATAAAAGAACAAAAAGTAAAAGAATTATTTTTGGAGCTTGTTAAAGAAACATTGAATAAAGTTATTCAAGAAATTGAACCGTTGATTAATAGAATATTCTTGATTTGCAATTGTGAAGAAAAAACGCTAGAGATTCCAAATGCGTAAGTATTTAGCTCATTTTACTATCCTTATTTGTGATTATATATTTTTTTTTATTAACGTGAAACAAAATATTTAGGATGTGTGAAGATATTTTGTGCTATATCATGACTAGACTACAACATTATTTATCCGATCAGTATATAAATATCATGAATTCTAGAAAGTTATGGGTTATTATATTAAATGCAACCGGGAACATTGAAAAACTCCGTGCAAACGCTTATATTCAACGTATTAAAACATCTATCACTGAACTTAACAGATTACTTTTAGAAAAAAGGATAAATATGAGATTATTACAATTACTATTGGAATACTCTGACGAGCAAATATTTCAATATTTTGAAGAAACTATAGGTAAAAACAAATCTATGGATGACGTGATAATCTCTCAAGAAGAAATTGCGGAACTTAGAAAATATTTTCAACTTGAAATCGAGATGTTCATCAAATTTCTTGACAAATTTTGTTCAAGTGCTCAAGTAATAGATAGAAATGATTTTATTCGAAATATGCAAAATTCAGAATTAAAACAATTAATGGTATCAAATTATTGGAAGAATATGTTTGACAATGTAAGACGTTGTTACAAATATTATCAATCTCAAGTTTTTCAAAATGTCTTTGAGACTTGCATCCGAGAAGATACTGGTGCAATAAAAGTAGAATACATATCGCAAAGATTAATACCAGTTGTTTTTGAAAGATATGATACTATTTGTAAACAATTGAAGGAATGGGAAAAACTTAAATGCTCTGATACGTCTTTGTTTTGGAACAACATCACGGATGTTAACGCAGAACTCGATTTAATAGGTTATAAAAATAAAAATCAGCAATTTGTACAAGCCCTTAATAATTTATTAAGAATTCCCCATTGGATTGAACAATTGATAAATTTAGAAAATGTAGTAAAAAATTTTGGAGTATTGCATAATGAAGATGATTGGCTATCAAAATCAATTCGTATTTTGAAAGATGATACAATGAAACTTGGGCAAATGTGTAATTTTTTTGATTACCTTAATAGAAATCTATCTGATGTTAATCAAGATTGCTGGAAATTGGTTAAAGAGTTGTCGAATGCTGACGAATTAGTGTGTTTTTTAAAGAAAAATTTAGAATTTGATACCAGAAATTTAATTAATTGTGAATATTATTCAGATGAAGAAACTAGAATTTCATCACTTATTCAAATTAAGCAATGTTTATTTTCTCTTATGAATAAAAATATAGAATCTATTGCTGGTTTGTTGAAGGAATTACTAATTGTTATAAGAAAGAATCATAATATAGGAGAAAAGATCGCATTATGTAAAAGTAGCCAAAATCCTGGAAAGGTTACTAAGGAAAAAATTAAAAATGCTGTACATAATGGAACTTTTGTATTTGTATATGATCAAATAGAAGACAAGTGCTTATTTTCTTTACAGTGTCCTAAATTCAATGAGATGTGCAATTTTAATGAGATTTTGAATTTGCGTGAACGAGCTCTTTTTATTACAAACAAAAATAATATAACTATGATGAATGATAATGATGCTGAAACGTCCAAATATGCAATGAAACAGTTTATTATTCAAGTTGATATTGCACGAGAAATAGTTAGCATTGTTTCTATGTTAATGCAAACGGGACATTTTGACTATAGAAAGTTTGAAAAGAAATTACAGGGAACAGACAATATGAATGATTATCTTAAATTTTTAAAGGAGGAACTTAAGAAATGGTAAATGTTTTATTTGAATTGAATTTTTTTTATTTTTATCATAAAATAAATTAATAAGTTTAATTAAAAAATTATAGGCAATCAATGATAGATCATGCGCATAAAAAATGTTACTATTTAACATTCTTATCAGCTCGTCATGTTTTGGCGTTATATGATTATTTTGTATCAGAAGTTTCGGATAGAGAAAATGAAGAAGAATGTAAAGCATTAATTAGATTTGTAAATAGCAAAGCCCAATTATCACCATCTCATAGAGATGTACAAAGAATTTTACGTGAATCTAAAGATTATTTTGAAATCCTTTGTGAAATCGGAAATGAATTAGAAAGAATTTTCAGAAATATTCCAAAGCGATCACGTAAATTTGATGCTGTTGAACAGCGTGTAATGCAAGATGTCGTTACAAAAAATAAATTATTTATTGCTACTTGTAATGATAAATCACGAGTTCCAAACATTATTATGTCATTATATGCTAATCACGGATATTACCCCGAATCATGGCAGCTTTTGATATGTACTTCTTTAACTACTATAGAAGAACTTACAATTTTCATAAAAAGAAGTTCCTTCGCATCAAATAATGGATATGGAGGTCAATTATTTTGTATTGCAAATGTAGAAGTGTTAAATTTAAATTCACAACGTAATTTAGTTAATCAAATTAGGTCAATGCAAAGTCAAAAGAAGGAATATCGTTTGGCGCTAATTTATTACAAAAATGAAAATGAAATGTGTCATTATATTTTAGATCAATTATCTTCAAATATGCATGCAACTAATGGTTTAAATGACAAAATTATGAATCAAATTTATAAAGAACTGTGTCAGAATGTTATACGTGTTTCATCTGACTTATCTGGGCAAGGAAAAACTAAATGGATCAAGGAGGATAGTTCTATTAAAAAGAAAATTCCACGTAATTTTTTAATAAGTGATAGTATGGAATTCAGGTTGCTTGTACGGAAATTCAAAAATTTTAAACTTCAACCCGTAGAAAGCTTACATATCAACATAGTGTCGGTGGACTATCCTGAGGATGTTAACATGTTCTTGTTTGAGTTATTAACTTTGGGCATGGTTTTTACCGATGTTGACATAGCTTGCTTACCTTTATCTGATACACCTATACATATATTTATCGAAATATCCTCAAATACAAAACAGGATTTACTTAATTCTCTTCCTATGACAAGATATTTATCGTTCAATCATTTAACCTGGAATATCAAAAATTTGATAGTTTCACAAGAAATTTATAGTCCAATCCAAATTACTTGTAATTATTTGGATTTATTAGATCGTAACGAAATTGATTCAAAAGAAATCTTTTTTCAACCAGATAAAGAAATAAAACCAGCGGCACGATGTCAATATCTTATTGCAAAATATCTTTTTAATAACAATGCTGAAGATATTTCTTCATTTCGATTTGTTGAAATGTTTGTCAATGTCCTTGCGGATCAATTAGTACGATTATCATCAAGTAAACTCCTTACCATTAATAATCTAGAATTAATTGTTAAAGCGACTATTAAAACTACAATATTAAGGACTTTAATAAATGTCTCAAAAGATTTTGCAATCAGATCTTTTAAGATAAAAGAATCACAACTAGAATCTGAGACTTATGCAAATGGCGAAAATGAATATCTTAGTACAATTGTTCAATGGGATGATTCAAATCATCCTATTTTATTTTTCAATTCCAATACTTCAGATATAATGTCAATTTTATATCGTGACAGAACAAAGGTTCATGATGACATTAAAAATTTACTAAAAAGTCAAGTAATTGGAGACCAAACCAATTGGGAATTAGATGATTATAATTTAATGTCTCAAAATGCCCTTTTCGCAAAGTTAGAATCTATGACACGAAATTCAGCAGAAAAATTAAACCTTCCTGAATATGCTTTATCTTGTGATAATTTAATAAAAATGATCTTAATGCTTTTAAGAGAGCGTGCAAACATTCCAGTAGTAGTTTGTGGTGAAGCAGGATGCGGAAAAGTACTTTTTTTTTTTATTCTGTTGTTATGGCTTATAGGATGCGATTTTTTAACTACTTGTTATTTTTTTGTTTGTTCAATTTTATTTATTTCTTCCTTAGACAAGTTTAATTGCATATCTAGCTATGGTAGTTGAAGTTCCATTTCAAATTCTTAATCTTCATGCTGGAATTGATGGACGGGCTATTACAATCTTTATGGATAATGCCTTGAAAATAGCAGAAAATAGTAAAGTGTGGATATTATTTGACGAAATCAACACGTGTAATTATATAGGTTTACTTGCAGATTTAATATCTAGCAGAGTTTATAAGGGAAAACCTATACATCAAAATATTCGGCTATTTGCTACTTGTAATCCATACCGTTTTCGCAAAAGGATGCAAAACGAAGCTTGTTTGACAAATAAAAAGTTAGAAGAACAAAGTAATCTTATTTATCAAGTAAAACCACTTCCCAGTCAAGTTTTAGATTATGTATGGGACTATGATGTTTTAAAACCAGATGATGAATTGAAATATATTGAAATAATGGTTAAAGATTTAAAAAGTTTAGGACATCCCGTATTTGTTGAACTCTTGTTTGCTTCTCAAAAATTTATTCGAAAAGTTGAAGAACCATACAGTGTTAGCTTACGCGATGTTAAACGAGCTATAACATTGGTGAAGTTCTTTTATAATTCTCTTATAAAACGTCCAGCTTACAAGAAGGAACATAAATATCCACCATCTGGAAATCCGACTAAACTGACCAGAACTTATGTTTTAGCACTTAGTCTTTGTTATCATTCTCGAATATATGACGAAAATTCACGTAAACAATATCGTCGTAAAATGGGACAAATATTACAAAATCACAAAGTTTATATAGGAGAACACATGTTTGCTAAAATTATACGCGAAGAACAGGAGGATTATATTAATAGAATGCAATGTCCACCTAATACAGCTAACAATGAAGCCTTATTAGAGAATGTTTTGGTTATGATTGTATGCATTTTGACACGCACCCCCTTGTTCCTTATAGGGGTTCCGGGCTCTTCGAAATCTTTGGCAATTCGTCTTATAAATTCGAATTTACGTGGATCTGATTCAAATGATAAATATTTTAGAAAGCTACCCCAGATTTATTTAATTCCACATCAAGGATCGTCATCTTCAACTTCTGACTGTATAATAAAGGTTTTTGATAAGGCAAATAAATATCAAGAAACGACCTCCGAGCAATTTCCAGTTATTAGTGTTGTTTTACTTGATGATGGTGATTTTCACTTTCCTTATGATCTATTTTTTTTTAGTTGAAGTTAACCGAATTCATTCGTTGTGATTTTATTAGTTGGTACGAGTCCTCATTCTCTGCTTGAGCCAAGCTATCCGGCCACAGGACCAACTGTTTCGGTGATAGGAATATCTAATTGGCGTCCAGATAATAGTATGAGTAGCCGCGCATTACTTGTTCAGAGGTATTATATCATGTAAAAATTTTGCTAAATTTTCTTATATACCGTAAATGAATATATCTCTTTTTTATAGGCCACAATTTAGTTTAGATGATTTAGTTGACACCGCTGAATGCTTATTGAAAACAGGGGTTATTGGACATGGACAAAAAGGCGCTTTAGAACCTTTAGCTAAAGCATATATGGATTATGAAAAAAATGGTCAAGCTTTGCCTAACTTTCATGGTCTTCGTGACTATTACGCATTGGTCAAACGGCTTTCATTAGATGAAATGACCCCAGAGAATATTCAAATGGCATTGGATCGCAGTTTTGGGGGAACAGAAAATGATAAATTGTACGAAAAATATTTTGGAAACGTACTCAAGACATTTAATAATCATAAACCATGGTTATATAAACCAACTCCTGTTGAAAAATTGATCGATGCAAATTTAGATGATCCTGATGCACGTCATTTAATGATTATCAGTAAAAGTAACTCGATAGTAGATTTATTAACTTATCAGTTTAAACGAAGAGATTTGGATCCCATTGTAATTTTAGGATCACAGTTTCCTGATGACCAGGATGATTATTCTTACAGTGTTTTAAGTAGAATCATGGTAAAAAAAAAATCAACTGAGAGAAATTTATTTGTTCAATCTATTTATTGCCACGTTTTTACTGATATATTTATTTACTTTTATATCCAGATGTGTGTTGAGATAGGAAAACCATTAATTCTAACAGACTTGGAAATAATTTATAGTAATTTCTTAATTTTATTAGCATTCAATTATGCAATTTCCAGCATGAAATTCTTCAATTAAAGAAATAAAATTTTATTTTTTGCATAATAGGGAGTCTTTACGATTTATGGAATCAAAATTATATTGTACTGGGTGACAAGGAAAATCCAAAATACTTTACACGAGTTGCACTTGGAGCTCACGCCAATCCTATGCTGTAAGTTGTCTATTTACGTATAAATTAATTAAGAGTTTGATAATGTTTTCGAATTAAGATTAAATAATATTTTAATTAATATCTGTCAGTAATGTTTCACCGAATTTCAAATGTATTCTTGTCATGGATGAAAAGAACTTGCCTTCAGCTGATCCTCCACTACTTAGTCGATTTGAAAAACAAAAAATGTCGATTAGTGACATACTTGATGATAGACAAAAAGACCTTGTGCAACATTTAGACAGTTGGGTAAAACAAATGACAACTTTGGTTGGAGTTAATCAAGTAACCCTACGTAATAAACTCACCCAGAAGGATCTATTCATTGGGTTCGATAAGGATGAAACCTTACTAAGTTTAGTTATCGATATTACAAAGAATAATCCTGAAGCCGATGATGATGAGATTTTAGAAAAATGCAAGGAATGTTTAATTGCAATAGCATCTTCTGATGGGGCCATAAGAGCTGAACGATCAGCTTTACAACGAGATGAAATTAATCGGTGGAAACATGTTTATTTCCATCAACAGCATCATGATAGTCTTTATGATTATTTTCTCGCGTTATTCAGTCAAGAAAAATCATTGGCAGCATCAAATGAAAATTTAGTAATTATTAACACATTCTCAAATATTAATATGGATGTCAAATCTTGTTTACAAGGACTTGTAAAATGTCAAGTAAATAGATTGTCAACTTTCAGAACTGAAATTCAATTCTCAAACTGGGTAAATATAACTTTATATTTATTTATTCATTTATTTATTTTAATTTATAAAATTTTGATCTAATCTGAATACAATTGTAGGTAAAACATTTTTGGTTAGAATCAACCGACCATTTGTTAATTCTTCAATATGATATTACTTGTATTTGTATGATTAAGTTGGCTAAATTTATTATTGAACAATTCCGAAATGAATTTATTTCAAAGAAAAGTCAAATGGAACACTCTATTCCTATGAAATATTCGTGCATTATATTTCATATTAACCGAGAACATCAAAGTTCAACTTCAACACCCTTTAATTTCATGTGTGGCTGGAAACAGATTACGATTGAATCCTTAGACCAAAAGATACAATTACGTAATTTATTGGATTGTTCTTTACATGATATAATAAATTCAGAAATTTTTAAGAAAATAATCAATTCTACTAAGCCATTTGAAAAACTCTTTAAAGATGAATTATTGTGGTTCTTTTCATGTATAGAATATCGACCCTTTAATGAAAGTTACAGCAGGTATGAAATTTTTTTAAATGTTAATTTGATAGATAAAATATTAAAATATACTTTTTATTTGATAGGATGTTATACAAAGAAATATTGAGCGACACCAATTTTATTCAATGTATAAAAACAAAAACTTTCAAATGGATTTTTCTAAATTGTGAAGATTGGCAATTTGAAACAGCTTATAACAAAGATTATTTAAACCAGTTTGGATCCTTTTCGTTAGCATTGCAGAATTATGTAAAGACAACTATTAAACAAACGATAGCAAAAATCTTATACTCACTTGAAAAGTTATCAGCAACAGCAACATTTTTCACTATTAAAAATAATGAAGAATCTGAAATGAAATTAGAGTTGTGTGATTTATGGAAAAAAATGTTAATGGACGATACAATAATCAATATAAATAATTTATCAAAAGCAGAACCTTCGAAATATATAATGCCATGTGCAACAGTTAATGAACTAGGATTTCCATTTTCATATTATATTATGAATCAAATTAATTATTATGAAGATTATTATGAAGAAGAATTATATATATTGAGTCAAGACCCGGAAAATATTAATAACAACACTAAAAAATTACATGAAGAATTAATTGAAGAACATATTGAAGATTTCAAGAATAATTTACGTAATATATTTTCTGTCAACCCAATTTTTGAAAACTTGGAAAGATATTCAGAATTATATTATAATGATTTTATTAAGATTATATTATCAACTTACTCTACTACTAGAAAACTAAAGAGTAAAAAAGAATTAGATTTCATTTTAAGGAATTTAGTTGGAGACAAAATAGTCAATGATCCATTTCTCCTTCATCTTTATTGGTGGAAATATAGAGATAATATTTTAACACAATTACAATTGGTTGAAAATTTTCCGTCTATTATTACGAAAATACAAGAAGAATTTATTGTGTATGGCACACTTGATCAATATCTTTTTAAAGAATCAATTGGTTTTATATTACAAAAAATTTGCAACAATGATGATGAATGGGAACATAAGATGAGTATTATTCTATCGTTAAGCAATAAAATCAATACCACAAAAAATTCGGCAATCCTTTCTTTATTGCTTATATGTAGTGATCTATTTAAAATCAATACTATTCCGTTAGAAAAAATCAAAGAGGTGATTAATTTAGGAAAAACTGCCAAAAAACAAGAACTTATTAACGTTGATATTATTGAGTTTATATTTGATGATTTAGATTATAATAATAATTCAACTCATATTAGATCTTTTATTATGAGAATTCTTGACCTTATTCCTATAGAATCTGAAATACGACTGATTATTTACAAAAATATACTTAATCGAAAACCATTTCAATTAATTAATGTAATAATTGAAAAAATATTTATCACTGAAAATCAACACAATGATAAAATCTTTTTCACCCTGATTAAAAACCCTGAAGCAGCTTTACAACTTTCAAATCGATTAATTATGATTAATAAAAATCTCAAAATTAAAGATTCTGAAAATAGTATGGCGGAACTTTGCTGTGAAATTATTCAAAATATTTTTACTGAATTTGATTTAAAAGAATTGTCACCTTATTTCAAATTTTCAATTGAAACTTTTACTAAACAAGGAGATTTTCCATTGCAACAAATAGCTTCAGTAGCTCTCCTAAAAGAATTTATATTTAAGTTCTGGGACAATTATGTAAAAGAGGATAATTCTTTATCCAGATCACTAGTTAAAGAGATTAATGAATGCGTTATTATTGATCATTCGTTTATTCAATCTCTCAGATCATATTTTTTACTTGAATTACGCTTGCAACAAGAAGATATAAACCAACTTCAGAAATTAAAGGAAGATTTTCCATGGATTGAAAATGAAAATGAAATTAATTTTCTTCCGAAATTTTGGACTTCAATTAAACAAGTGAATTTTGGAGATTTCAGTACTTTTTATAATAGTGATTTTAATAAAAATTCGGATGATTATCCCTTTATATCTGCGTATATTAGTAATTATAATAAGTTAAAGCTTATAAAACACCTATATCCAATCGTTAGATTTGTAAAGATTATAAATTCCAAACTTGAATATGTTTTAACCAGAAAATCAGCTCAAACTATAACGTTTAAGGAATACATCGAAAAGGAATCAATGGATGATATTAATAATGGAAATTATTTAAAATCTTTATTTGAAGACTTTGCCTTGAGTTGGAACTCTGTTATCACTAATATTAATCAAAATCAACCGGAGGAATTGTACATGGATCTCGAACGTCCTGTTATTTTTAGTTTAATTGAGCGAAAGGAAGGAGGAAATTATTTATGCAAAATTTTGGAATGGTTAATCAAATTTCATAATGAGTTTTTGGATAATGCTCTCGCTATTCCAATTGGAAAATGTAAAAATCTTAAATTTTTAGAAGATTCACCTTATTATATCAAATCCATTAAATTGTCTCAAATGCAAGATACTAACTTTATAAATGAGGATAATAAGAAGATTTTAAATTATAGCCAAAGAAAAGATGAGAAAAATTTTATTTTTGATTTACAACAAATTGAAATGATACTTGTTAAAGAATTAGTTTATGATAAAGTTTATATTGAAAAGGAAGATACTGGATTTTATTTGAAAGATTTTACATTTAAACATGAAATATTTTATAATTCTATAAGAATTATTTCCGATATTAAAAATATATTACCACAAGAACCTATCCCAATTGATAAAATGTTATTAATTTTAGCAATTTTTCAACCATCAAATTCTTTAATTTTAGAGAATTCATTAAATTCAATCAATTTGCATGAATTATTGTTTCTTTTTGAAAAAATTCTTTGTCTAATCAAAGAATTATCAATTAAGAATAATAATATACTCATTATTGATTTTATTAATCAATGGCTTAAATTAGCAAGATATAATATAACATTCATTGATATCTTGAAAGAATTTCCCTTAAAATATGTTATAGCAATATATGAGTTAATAGAAGAACAAGTTACTAATTCTACAATTCATACTATTGATGATAAATTTAAAGTTCCATTGACTCAACAAATTAAGGATTCAATTAATAATTTTATAAATCATCAACTTGTTTCTCCTAAAGCATTTGCTCTTGCCTTAAAGAGATTTATTAATAGATTCTTATTAATCGATACTAATATAGAAAATTTAAATTTAAGAATATATTTCTTGGATTTTACTTTAGAGTTATGGACAAGTGATATTAATAAAGAGATTATTAGAGTATCATTTCCTACTAACTTATTAGTATCACATGCTTATAATTGTTATGTCTTTATTGTTGAAGAAATTGAGGTATTTTATTCGTATTAAGTTTTTTAATTTGCTAAAATTTCTAAAGTACTTTATATTAATTTGTTGATTTTTACAAACAGAAAACCAAGAAAGAAAACATTTCTACTACACCTTCAACTACTGGAACTAGAAAAAAATTAAAAAATCTAAAAAGATTTGATTTTTAAATATATATCAGACCTGTAGTAAAATAAATGTAAAACATTCATGAATATTTCCAATAAATTATTCAAATATTTTCAGGAAATTTTGAAAAGTTCACTTGTTCGTATATCTTTATGTCGTAATGACGTAATCCGTGATTATTTATGCCAAATATACAAAAATTACACAAAGAAAGTAAATATTTTTTTTTATTATGCCGTAGATAATTTGTAATCCGTAAATCTATAATGCTGATCTTGATGTTTTGATATTTAAATGGCAAAATCCATATTTTGTAATGCCGTAATTTCGATTCAGCAATTCCGACAGTACCTATAGTTTTAATGTCCTCATTATTTTATGTACACCAGCAATAAGATATCTGTTTGTAAACGTACGTTTCCAAGATTGTGGATTACATTATCCTAAAACTTTCGTTAAATAGTCTTTGGATTATTGGAAAATTCTGCAGTAATGCATCCCATCTTTATTGAATATATTGTTAATAATTAATATAATAAGAGTAAATACAATGAATGAACAATAGATGAAATCTTGTAAATATAATAGTGTAATGTAAATACTAAATATAAAAAACGATAATTGTAAACTAACGAATGAGATAAAATATAAATAAGTAAAATTAACTAATAAAATAATAGGTAATAGTTAAGATCTTAAGGGGGGAAATTTTAATATAAAATTTTACAAAATATTACATAATTGAATATCAGAAATTTTGAAGTTGGGTATAATACTAATAATACCATTAATTCAAATTGCACAAAATTTATACACTACAATTCAGATACCTTTCGTTAAATTGTCATTTTGATGACACACCAGTTGCTTTTTTTACACATTGGAAAACCCATTCATAGGAATGTTGTGTTTCATCACCAACAATTGCTTGTGCTACAATTCGTGTCTTTAAATTATTGTCTGAAGTAACAAAGTAAGATAATTGGTGATTATACCGGTTGGTTTTGTAAGTATTATCATGAATTATCACGTCATGATACAAAATCTGTTGCTCAGGACTCATCCAAAAAAGATGGGTTAATGAAGAAGTAATTGGATCAGATTTCATTGAAATTATCCATCATGGATCCTCAGTTTTTTTATCATTAAGCCTTTTTAATAACATTCCTGCATCTTCTTTATCTGGTGTTGATTTATTGATGGCATCGTATAGATCCGGTCGGTATATTCTCGTCTTAAGTTTTTCTCACATAATCCGATATTGTTGTATTTACTTTAGCAATAACCGACAGTTAAAAATCGAATTTCTTCAAGAAACTCTTCTGGTAATTTTCGTAATGTTGGAACAAATTCAAATTGACTTGCTGATGGATGACATTCATGTCCAATATGTTGGTCATTGAATTTTGTGACTTCAAGATAACCCTTGCTCTTCTTAACCCATATATTAACTTCCATGGACATTCTACTCACAAGATGATACACTTGTTACTACATGATCCAAACTTTAAATGTTTTAAAGCTTTGAGATGTCACTCTTGTCGGTATTTTCCACTTCTATTATGTTTCGTTGCATACATCATCGGATATACTATTCAAGAAAAAAAAAATCTCACATGTCTTGTTTTTTTCATTTAGACAATGTTATGAAAAAGGCAAATTTATTACTCGCCTGTCGGTATCAGAAAAATCTTCTGAACTATCGTACGCCAATAAAGTCTCGATCTCTGACTGCATTTTGAATAGTTTCTTTCATATTTTGGTATAAATCGTAGTATTTTGAAGGGTGCTTAATTGTATTTTATTTAATGAAAATAAAACAAAAGGAATGATTCGAAAACTAGGATACACTATATTATAACGTTAAGCTCTATGGAAAAAAAGGCTTTCGTCAAGAAACCAGTGTATTATGAAATGTATGACAATCTTGTAATACGTATACGAATGATAATTGCGTGATAAAATGTATGATAAGACGTGATATTTACTTATTACATGTATTTACAAGTAATATACCGTAGAGCACCGACTAAACTACCCCAAATTTTGTAAGAAACCCGGGTATTTTATATAGTTAATTTTTTTTTTGAACTGGAAATAGCCAATTTTACATGTATTTATTGTATTTATCAAAATTTTATATTTATTTGTTTATAAATGAATTTTTTTTATTTAGATTTTTATATCTTTATCATTACAACCATTAAAATTCATCCCAAATCAAAAAAATACAAAGTGAAACGCGCTACAAATACTTTTTATACCGCGTAAGTATATTTGATCAACATGTCGCATCTCAATACAAGATACCCCCTCGATACAAAATACCCCTACCCGGGTATTTTGCAAATACGAGGGTGGATTTGTAAAAAACATCTTGATATTAACAAATTTAAGAATTTATTACACGTGACATTTTGTATTACATCAATTTTACCATCGCAAACTACATATTGCCAAAATTTATCTTGTAAAAATCTTCATTGTACGAAAAACAGATTCGTTTTAATGAAAATTCGTCATATAAAGGGTTATTTTGTATATGCGAGTCATAAAAATAACCTCGTTAAACGATAAATAAAAATTAATTAAATTAATTAATGATATTCAATATGAAAAGAACTTTTTTCATATGTTAAAATCGGTACCATACTGAAGATTTGTTGTATTGTGAAATTCATTATATAAAAATTCGTCCTTTATTTAATATACTTTAAATGATTTTCACTAAACTATTTTATTTAATTGTAATTTTGGAACAGCAGTCATACCAACTTAGCTTTTATTTTAATTATGTATTAATTTATACAAAGATAAAAAAAAATATAAAACTAGCTCCCCAACTTATGCCAAAGACTATAGCAAGTAGCGAATTCAACCCTTTTATGTTCTTCATAAATGTTTTTCAAAGAGTAAGAATGATAGAGAAGTAAATTTCAATGACTATCAATTTGAAATACTTCACATTCTTTTACATCGAAATCATTTTCAATTTTTCTAATCGATTTTTCATAAGAGGATTTTATACAATAATTAATATCTGATAAGTCCCAGTCCCATATAATAAGATCTTTTTCACCAAATGATGGACCATAATAATGACTATTAAGTGTAGCCTGATTTTCGTATTTTACACGACTTAAAATATAATTTTCATTGGCAAAAGAAAAAATAAAACTATCTTTAGTAGTTTTATAGTGTCCATCAGATCCCCATTCAGCTGGATTATAACCTCCAAGAATTTCGTTACTATCTTTCACTTCAATAATTGTTACTGTGCGAGATTTATTATCACAAATTTCGTGAAATTTGTTTTGTGAATATCCATCACGGGATGCGCGAAATAATAATTTGAATTCATATGATGAAGCTAACTCATCTGTAATTTCTAATCCATTGATCCACTTTAAGATTAATTCAGCATGTTGAGATGTAATAATTTTTGAATCAACAGTTTTTGATTTGTCAATTGGCTTACTATCAGGATTTAAAAGAGTTAAAAAAGCTTTTAATAAATCCGTACATAATTTTTCAGGTAAAATTTCTCTATAAGGAAATACTTTGTCAACAAATTCTTTAGAAGTTAAATTATAAAAATTAATAAAAGGAATACATTGTTGTAAAGTATTCTTTAAAGTATTAAAATCATCTTTTGAAAAATTTGTGATTTCAGAAGGAAGTTCAGGATTTTGAGAAAGTCCCCATTTAAGTACATTTTCCCAAATTTGAATTTCACTTATTTGAAGATTATCATTTTGAATAATTGAGATCAAAAGTTTTTCTGGAATTGAAGAGAAATTTGGTGATTTGAATATCTTAATTGGTTCTTTAGATATTAAATTAATACAATATTTTTGAAGTTCTGAGAATGAATCATTTTCAAAACTTATTTGATAAACAAAATTAAAATTATTCTCCATCCAGTTTTCTTTATTTTTGATCAAAAAAAATTGTAAATATAAAACTAATTCTTGAAGACTAAGTTCACTAGCGGCAACTAGGACCTTAATTATATCCGAATTATCATAATCATTTAAAGAGAGTTTTCCACCATAAATATACCTAAAATAAATAAATATATATAATATATATTATTATTAATAAAATCAATAAAAAGAATAAACCTGAATATCATTTGTTTACCTTAAAATTATTTGAAAAATTTCTGGTGAAATATTTGGTAATTTGATATGTGCCAAAGTTCCATCATTTTTCTTTTCATTAGTTGACAAAATTCTACGCAAGTAAGGAGAACGATAATGTAAAATAACCATGTGAGCACGAAAGACTTTTACGTAAGGGTCATTACCAACTTCAATAGTAATATCATAATATTCTTCATCATTTAATATTTCAAGTAAATTTTGTGATAATTTTGGTAAAAGTTTATTATCCTCCATGTTTTATAATTTTGACGTTAAAAGAAGGGAAAGAAAAAGAATTAATTCAAATTTGTAAATGTTCGGCCTTATATATGATGATTTGTAATTGTACGACATTATTTTTAGTAAAATTTACGCCACGTACTATATTGATTGGCGTTGATCGTTAAGTATTTTGATAAGAAAAAATTTTTTAGTAGTAACTAGGCGTAACCTGTCGCGTTGCGCCAGGGACGATAAAGTAAGAGAGTAATAATAAATACACTTATATTTTATTTGCCATGCAGTGTGAATAGGTCTAGTTTTTTACTATTATTATGATGGGATTAGTAGGAAATAAATGAAATAAATGTAATAAATTACACAATTTATATGATTATACAAATAACAATGAGTTGTGTGCAAGTGTTATACAGTATATGAAATATTATTATTAAACGCAAATTTTATCACACGAAATAAATGTTGCGGTATTGTGAAATTTATGATTTTATTTATAAAACAATCTGTATAAGTAGTTTATTGTTGCATTGTTACAAAAAAAATTTCCTTTTTTTTTTATCTTAAAAAAATTCTATTGTAACATTAGAAAAATTACATCCTCTGTTGAAAAAAAATACATATATATTGTTTACCATATCTCAAAGAAATTCATTATAGCAATCTATTGTTGTAGAAAAAAAAAAAATATCTCACTAATTACTAAGTATATGAAAAAAAATCCCCCAAAAATCAATTATAACAATCTATTGTTACGAAAAAAAAAAATATTCCCCAGAAAAATTAATTATAACGATCTATTGTCATGAAAAAAAACAATTTCCCATAAAATTTACTATACCGATCTATTGTTACAAAAAATAAATTATTTGTCAGTCTATTATTGAGCCTAAAAAATAATTAGGGAAATTTATTATTATTTAATAATAATAATAAGAATCGGGAAAAAAGGCAATTACCGTGGTGCCGCAACGTCAATCCGATCACCGATCCAAATATAAATGGTTTAAGAATGTGGTTCGGGAAAAAATGATTCGATTTGAAAAAAAAAGCCCAACCGAAAAAATAAAAGGTGAAAAAAAAATTTCAGATTGGGAAATAAGTCAAAAGCTAACCCGAAAAAAGAAAAGTGAATAAAGAATTTTCGGATTGGAAAAAAAACCAATTCGAAAAAAGAAAAAGGTTATAAAGAATTCGAAAAAAAAATAACAATAAAAAAAAAAATAAAAATAAAATTTGGGGAAATCGGTTTAAAAAAGGGAAATTTTCGAAAAAGAAGGAAAAAGGTGGTTCGAAAGAGAAAAGAGGAAAGAACCGAAAGTAAAGGATCGATTCAAGAAAAAAAAGAGAAAATTAAAAGAAAAAGGGAACTGAAAGAATTCAAATCGGTTCGAAAGAAAAGGAAAATTTTAAAAATAGGTTTAAAAAAAAAATGAAAAAAATAAATCGGTAATCTAATAATCAAAAAAAAGATTAAAATTCCATTAACCGGAATTGGATTATTAGATATACATGACTTGCTGATCAAGCTATAAAGAAAATTCAAAATTAATTCATACAGGCTAATCTAAACATTACGGTTACACATTATATTTTTTTAGTTATATAGAACTAGCAGTCACCCGTTGCTTCGCACCGAGATTGTTTAAATAGAAAAATTTAGTATTATAATGCAATACTAAGATGGTTACAGTAGTTTTTTGTTTATAATTAAGAATTTAATATGATGGTAATAATTAGTTAACAAAATAATGTGTATTTACAATAATGTAGCTATTTATATTAATGATTTTACGTTTGAGTGTAGAATGAAATTCGGATTAATTAAGGAATTGTGAAAAAATAATTATCAATAAAAATTGATTTTTTAGAAGTATTTTCGAAAAAACTTTAAAATATTTATATGAAAATAATACAAATATTTTTTATTAATTAATTATAAAATATTTTATAATTATTTCTTATTATTTTATATTACGTCAATCTTAAACTTATAACAAACTAGGGAAAAATATTTGAACAATTAAATGTTATTAGAATTTGTTCATTTCATTTATTATTATTCTTTTGATACTCATTTTACTCGAATAAATTATTAATTTAACTAAACCATTTGAATTAAAATCTTTATTCAAAAAATCTGGTGATTATTCAGAGAATTCCGGATATGGATTTGGTTATAATAATCTAATTATTAAATCAGCATTAATTAATTATAAAATATTGTAAAAAATATCAATTTTTTTTTGATTTTTATGAATTTGAAAATCAAACTATTTATCCAGCGTTCAATCAGTTTGAAAAAAAAACTAAACCGAAAGAAAAGGGAGAAAAAATTTTTTTTCGGAAAAAAAAACCAAAAAAAGTTAAAAAAAAATCGGACAAAAAAAATTAATAATCTAAAAAAAAAAATTCCGATTAAGGTAAAATTTCATTAACTGAAATTGGATTAGTTGATTGGGAATGCACACGGATCATATAGTTTTTCATGTCGGCATGTCACGACTCACGATTGTCATGGATTTTAATTATATGGCATGGGATTTCAAGTTACACAATTCATATTATTTATGCGGAGACTAATAATCCAAACGTCAGATAAATTTTTTTATAGTTATATAGATAATCATTTTCCTGTAAAATTATTAATTATCAAGAGAACCACCTTTTTTAAACAGTTTGTATTTCGAAATCATTAATTAGCTATCACGTTTTTAGTTTTTCTACAATATAATTATATTAAAGAAGAATTTATTGAAATTCTTAAATTCGACATTAAAAAAATTTTAAAATATAATTTGTTCGTCGGTAACGATCATTCTTAATTAAATTCAGTTATTTATACGAAACAACAAGGAAGGACTGGGATGAAGGATAAAAGGAAGAATAATTTTGAATTATGTAACCTGATTATTTATTTCTTGACGGATTTAATTAGAAGGTTATAATGGTGACTTTTTGGGCCAATGAACAATTGAACTATTGGACTTTGATCAATCCAAATCCAAATTTTATTAGATAAATTGTCACTTTTATATTATTCTAAATAATCATCTATAACAATTTATTTCGAAGATTTAGAAGAATCAAAGATAATTAACGAATTATTTTTATTTACAAAAATTATTAAGCTTGAAAGTAAAATTGTTGGATTAATAATAGTAACTATTAATGAATTAATTCAAAAGTACTGGGACTATAAGAATCAAATTGGACTTGGAATGGACTATCTCCAATTAGTCCAAGTCCAATAGTCCAAATTTTTTCAATTGGACTCCCATAACTGGTTTAACTCAAGTGGTAAATGGAATTGTAAAATTCTCAAAAATAATTTTTAATTTAATGTAACAGATGATAAGAGGACAAATAAAAAAGATTTAAATTATAATTTGATCGTTTAAATAATTCAATATGTTGAGAACAAACGTTATTAGAGCATTCCCTATAAAAAAGAAACTTTCTATAATGTCCGGCAAGCGCCGGACGTACGTGACAACTTTTTTTTTTAAGAAAAAAAAAAAAATATTTTTTTGTGGACTATTTAAATTAACTGAGTTGTAAATATTTTTCTTGTAACAATTGATACGCAATACGAACTTTCCAAAAAAAAAGTTCATTAGTTAATAAAGATTAGATAAAATAATATTATTTAATTGTGATTACATGAATAGAAATGAGACAAAGAACACATATGCCTGTGAGGATTTTTCAAGAGTGGATTAACCGCTAAAGGAATGTGGCTTTGATATTCAAATGAAAATCATGACATCAGACTTAACGCCTTTTAGCAGATCATTTTCGTTTTAAATAATTGTACAAATCTAATCTCATCATCTGAAAATAATATTTAAAGCGGCAGTGTTCTCCTTCCTTCTACAAAAGGTAGATGTAAATAATGTGTGAGTAAAATTGGTCGTCGAATCACTTGAGATTTTGATAGGAGTTCTAACTTGCCCAATATTCTCCTATACGTAGACTATATTAAACTAATTAAAATTTATTTATTATTTATTATTAGGCTGCTATTGCTGTGGAAATACTGGAAAAACGCATGGAGATAGTTGTCACTGTATCGTGAGGTTTGGTGAAGGCGCCATAAGAAATAAAGAAGCTTGCGGAAATTGCGGAAAATGCTACGCTCATTGCAATTGTGGTAAGTAATAATTCTCATATTTCTCACATTTTATAAGTCACTGTTATTATCATCAAAATCTCAAAGTGATTCAATGACCTGAATTATGGCACATTTACATTTTTTAAAAAAAAACTATTATAACGTGTTACGGTAACGTAATTTTACTTTGACCTACTATTATCATCGTTGGAATGCAAAGTAATGTGAAACAGTGAGCTAATTTAGAATTTTAAAATACTTTTTTAAAGGTCTTTCTTATGTACATAGAATGAATTGAACCAATTTGTTGGTTTATAACGTTAATTAATGAAATTATTGGAACTTGTACACGCAATGTCAAAAAATATAGTAGAAGCGAATTTAAATAATATATAATAGTTTGTTAAAGTTCAGTCGTTTGGAATACTAAATTAATTAATAATTATTATTCCATATTAACTTGGTTATTAAGATCTTACGCCAAAATAAATATTGTCTGATTCAGTGATACTTTTTTTTATATAACAGATAGAAAAAATTTTATGAATAAAAACACATAATTAATATAAAATTTTCCCCATTGAATTTTTTAAAACCTTATAGGATTTATGAAATTTATAAATTATTGTAAATAAAGGAACATGATGATGCGTAAATCTATTAAAAAATAAAAATGATTGGATAAATTATTTTAGATTCTTTAAATAAGTTAATAATATCTTTAATTTTTTCACATTTAATATTACGGTTTTCAAATTAGTGGATACGAATAAAATAAAAAATGAAATTTTATAATCTCGTGCCTCGTGGAAATAAGAAAATTCTCTTATATATTTTTTTTTTTTTTCTTTTTTTTTTTTTACGCAACAACGACTCAACGAGATAATACAGTATATATATTCATTGTTGAATAGATTTTAACCATATTTATTTTAGTCCATAATTTAGTATATAAANAGGTACAATTACCACTACCACCTAGAAATCTAATTTTGAGATGAAAAACTCGTTTACTTTATTTAAATAAAGAATATTCACGTTACATAATATTTATGATCTTTCAAAAAAAAAATTACGAACTTGTCAAAGAATTGATTGGCTACTAAAAAAATCAATTTAAATAATTTTGATGTAAAATTATTTCAGATTTTTTTTCATTAATTCCGTATTGATTATTTTTGTTCAAAAAGATTTTACTCGATATTATCAAAAAATTTCTTTATTTATCGACACTGATTATGGGCAAAGGATGATAATACCAAATTTTATGTCATATTATTTCAATTTGTATTATTAGTAATACTATATTAACATTATAAAGCTTATTAGTTATTGCACTTAATCTCATAAATATCTTGTACATGCGACAATTATCTTTTTTATACTGTCTGTGATTTTCATTATTTAACGCAATAAACCAAAATTTATTTTGTCCATCACCTAGAATATCTTGTAATTAATTAACAATTACATATTATTTTCTTATTTTTATTATTATTATTTAAAAGTTCTTAGCTTCACTTCTTATTTCTTTATTTAACATATCATTCGAGGATTTAAAATTATTGTATTGTATCAGACAATGCAATTATTATTCATACTTTATAAATTACAAAAAATTATGAAGGGAAATAAAAAAAAATTGGCGTAACAATACGTTATACCGTGTGATAAACGATAAATGCTATTCGAGATTTTATCAAGCTCCGCTAATAAGTGGGCAAGAAATTTTTCATTCTAGCCTTCATTCCAATTTTATTTATACGCAACAACGACTCAACGAGATAATACAGTATATATATTCATTGTTGAATAGATTTTAACCATATTTATTTTAGTCCATAATTTAGTATATAAATGTTATGTTGCACACTTTCACAGAGTTACAATGGCAATTATATAAGGTCGAACATTTACGCATTTAGATTAATACCTTTCTTTTCGCTAACGTTAAAATTTATAAAAAATGGATAACAATAAACTTTTACCAAAATTATCACAAAATTTACTTGAAATTTTAAACGATGAAGAATATTATGATATTATTATTGAAGTTGGTAATGACCCTTACGTAAAAATCTTCCGTGCTCACATGATTATTTTATATTATCTTTCCCCTTACTTGCGAAAAATTCAATCAACGAATAAAAATAAAAGTGATGGAATTTTGTCTCATATTAAATTATCAACCATTTTACCAGAAATTTTTCAAATAATTTTAAGGTATTATAATTTTTTAAAAGACGGTTAAATAAATTTTATTTTAACAATAGTATTTAATTTAAGAAGATTTCTTTAGTATTTACAGGTATATATACGGTGAAAAACTTTCTTTGAATGAATATAATACTTTAAACCTAATTAAAGTTTTAGTAGTTGCTGCCAGCGTACTTAATCTTCAAGAATTAATCACATATCTATAATTCTATTTAATTCTATTTGATCGAAAATAAAACAAATTGGATGGAACAAAATTTTAATTTGATATATCAAACAAGATTCTTTCTTGGAACTTCAAAATTATTGTACTGATTTAATTTCTAAAGGACCAGATAAGATATTTAATTCTTTAAAATTTTCTTCAATCCTAGAAAAACTTTTAGTTACAATTATTCAAAGTGATAATCGTCAAATAAGTGAATTTCAAATTTGGGAATATGTTCTTAAATAGGACCTTACCCAAAATTCCGACCTTCCCTCTGACCCTATAAACTTTTCAAAAGATGATTTCAAAAGTTTAAAGAATACCTTACAATGATTTATCACATTTATTAATTTTACAATTTAACTTCTAAAGAATTTTTAGAATATATATTATTACCTTATGAAAAAATATTTCCCAAGGATTTATATAAAGATTTATTAAGAACTTTTTTTTAAGTCTTTTAGATCCTAATATCAAATCAGTTGATAAATCGGAATATGATAAAAAAAAATACGAAAACTATTGATTCAAAAATTAACATATTGAATTAATCTCAAAATGGATCGAATAGATTAGAAATCACGGATAAGTTGGCTTCCTCGTATGAATTTAAATTATCGTTATTATTTTGCGCATCTCGTGACGGACATACACGAGATAAATTTCATCAAATTTGCGATAATAAACATCGCACAGTAAAATGTGTTAAAGTGAAAGACTGACGAAATTCTTGGAGGTATAATCCAAATGTATGGAATCAGATGGTTGTTTAGGCACTATTAAAGATAGTTTTATATTTTCGTTTAACAATGATATTATATTTTAAGTCGTACAACGAATGGTCCATCATTTGGTGGTGGTGATCTTATTTTATGGGGTTACAATAATTGGAAAAAGTAAACATTTTGTGATAGTAAAAAAAAAATATTATGAAAAACCAATTAGAATTAATGAAGGCTTCTTTGATATAAAAGAATGTGAAGCGTTTCAAATTGTGTAGGGAAAATTAATAGCGATAAAGCTTAGAAAATTATGATATATATGTTATATCCTAATTATTCTAATCATTGATTATATATATATTTCAGTTATTTATTTATTAGAATAATCTTGTTAAATTAAAAAAAAATAGCTTTTAACAATAAACAATAAAAAAGATAAACTTACTTTTTCCTATTTACCAAAAAATCGTACTATTTAGAATTTAAATAAAGCTGAAAAAAAATAAATAATTAAATAAAATATATTCGGGAAAGTAAAATCGTCTGAAAACTTATTATTTTTATAGTAAGAAAAATTTTCTCCTTCTATTTCCTTTTTAATTTGCACAAAAATTCTCGTGATTGAATATTTTCGTTAATCTCATTCCAATTTTTTTGAATATTAAACAAACTAATGAATATCATTTAACGTAAAGGATAATCTTGAAATTTTTCTGTATGTTATTCTTTTCAATTTTAATTACAGTAATATGAATCGGTCATGAAAGATCAAATGAGTTTCAATTCCGTCCGATTAATAAAATCCGGAGGTCCAAAACATTTTTTTTCCATAGAGTTACGCTGATTATTAACTAAAATTTATCAATTATCATTGATGGAGTATTAGAGGAGATCGTTCAAGCACACTAGCAGCACCGACGGTTCATACTCTTTGTTCTAAAAATTATCTTAATAAATAAAAATTATTGTAAAACTAAAACAGGAATGACCGAAATTTGTCATCTTCTGCTTATATGACAAATACGAAAATTTTGCTGCCATTGATTTTCTCTTAGAAATTTCCAAAAATCTCATTTTCTCTAATATCAAATTCAAAAACAACTTCGTTAGAATAGACTTCCACGCCCAAGCATTCAAGTAAGTCATTTGGATTGTAAGATTGTCATATAAAATAGCACACAATATGAAGCTCTTATTGGTCAAAAAAGAAAATATTTATTGTTGGGTCAGAGAAATTAAAGATAATCATCTTATTCGTATTCATACAATAAATGATGTTCCGAAAAAAAAAAAACAAATACATTTTTATGGCGCAGTCTGAAGTATTATATTTTTATTAAATTGATGGTAAAAATATCATAATTTACAAATAAAAATCTGTAGTTGAATGCTAAATATTTGACCTTAATGATCTTATAGAACCAGCTGATAAACGTCTATCTCTAATAAAGTTTCTAATTTCATCACGCCGATGACACCATCTTGTTAATGCCTGATACGATCTTAAAATTAGTTTATACATTATAACTAATCCACCAGATATAAGTACAAGTGATGGAATAAGATCGTACGTCACAACACTATTAAAGTATAATATCTGTATAATCAATTGTGGTACATCTTCAGCAAAAATATTTATGAAACTACCCCAAAGTATAATATTTCTTGATCTTTGTGATAATGGGGCTGAAAATATTTTGAAACCAAATAAATTTGATGTCAAAGTATTTACTCCTAGTATATTAATAGCTGAAAATATTGTACAAATTGACAATAGTGCTGGAAGCTCCGAAAACCAAGTATAGAATGTTGGATTCGTAGCTACTTCAGACAAAAGAATATTTATAGCCAATAAAAAATTGACTACATGCGGTACAACGAGGAATACCATACTAAATAATAATAAATAAGAAAATTATTAATTAATTAAATTAATCTTTAAAATAATAAAAAATAATAAAAATAACATAACATTAAACAAAATTTCTTACTTTGGGATTATTAAGTGTTGAGCATTATTAACCCTTAATAATGTGAATGTTAAATCCACAGCAAAATCCTGCATTATTAATGCAGTCTCAAATATGGCAATGTTTCTAGCTTCAGGGTTCTTCCAATGTGCCAAAAAATATAATATCGTTAATATTATTATACTTACTAAAAATATTATAATTATTGGCAAAAAATTTCCAAAATAACCTGTAAAATAATAAAATTAAAAATTTAATGAAATATTAATTATTTACAAATATCAAAAATATTTAATGAACAACACTTACTGGTCATTGTAAAGGATGCACTTTCGTCAATTAATGAAGAATACTCATTATTGGAAAGTGCAGTAAATCCTTTTCTTTCAATCAAAGTGCCCAAATTATCAAAGATTATTTTGGAACTTGGTTCCATGGCACTTTTAGCTTCATTTATAGTAAATGACAACAACACTTTTTTGGGAGAAGTGGGGTCATATTGCCATTTACCATTTGTTGTTATCCTTTGTTCATTTACCGGAATTATTTTGGAAAATTCTTGAATTACATTATTGAAAAACTCCGACTGATGATTTGTTTGAAGAAATTTTGAACTCCCTTCATCATTCAATCGAAGTAACCCTGTGACTGAAACTGAATGTTGTCCGGTCTTAAATGGTTCTAAATATAATAAAGAAATATAAATTTTTCTATTTGACCAGTAAAAAATTGAAAAATTAAAAATTAAAAAAAAATGTATATTACTTGTTGAAATTATCCAAGTTTTTTCATTAATTCCTAATAATGGTTCATTTCTCTCTTGAGAAATGACAAAATTATTATCAACTACCACATGATAAGACGAGTTTGGCTGATTGAATGTACTACTGAAAATTGGAATATGCACAGTGTGGTTATCACTTCCAATAGTACATAGTTCAGAATCTCCTGCAATTGTTTGCCGTAATAAACTTGGTTTGTGTGGGTCATCATTTAGTTGAAATATGGAAACATTTGCAGTAGATAACATTACTGGAATGCCATATTTAATTGTAATTTCATTGATTAAAGGATCAATAACTTCATTGACAGCTGGCTTTGTTGACTCAATTGCAGGATTATCATATTCAACTCCTATAAATCAAAAAAATTTTTTATTAAAAAAAAATAAAATTAAAGTAAAAATAAATTAAAAATTTACCTTGATTATTTAGTCTTAGTAAAGGTTTCAATAAAATTTCCAATTTATTACCAGTTTGTTTCTTTATTCCCACTAAAGTACCATTTCTTCTGAACATATTATAATGAAAAAACTCTGGGCCAAAAGAGACCTTTGATTTATAATTTCCATTATTATCTAAAATATAAAAGTTCAATGCAGTTGTATTTGTATATTGTTTTCTCACAAGAAATCCTCCATAAACTAAACTTGACAAATCAAAATCTTCTGCATTACTTATTTCTTTAGGGACCATACCAAATTGTACAAAGGACCCAGTTGTTAAAAATTCTAACTGATAATAATTCACTTCAGTTCTTGATTGATCCATATTTATAATTGTATTGTTTAATGATACAATACATATATATCCTGCAATATTATAAAAACATGATTTAAATGCTAAACTATTTAATTTTGTAGTAGTTTGGTAGACAAGAGAAGGTGTTGTAGGTGAATATGTTCCCTCTCTTAAAAATGAAACATAAATTTTCCAGTATTGAATATTTGGATTATTTGATACTGATGATCCCATTTCATCATATTTTAGAATATATGCATATCCAAACCCTCCATCAATTAAATTAAAATTAAAACTATTTACAAAAGTATATGATGATAGGTTTGGTACACTAAACTCGCCACTTTCAAGTTCCACCACTTTTCCTGTTGTAATATCTCTAAAGTAAAGATGAAAAAAGTTAATCAACTGAATAATGAAATATTTAAAAAGTATTTACTTGTAAAAATACTTACGGGGCACTAAACCAATGCCATGCTGTTATTCCTTTTTTGTCATATTCTTCAATACGAATAAAACCTTTTTCTAATCTTCCACTAATTATAATATCATCATTAACATCTCCCAAGTAGATTTCACTAAAAAATAAATAAATTATTATTGATCTTTATAAATGAGAATATAATAACATCTAAATTTACCTTATTATCTCGCTGTCATAATTAATTATCAAACCATACTTTCCCTTAACACCATTGTTTGATTTAACATAAATTACCATTATATAATTATAACTTAAGGGTATAAAAGTCATATCAATGGGGCAAACTGCTTCTAGAGGAAAGGTGTAATTAAGATTTATGTATGTAATTCGGCCTGTTCTTTCTATCAATCGTAGATAAAAATAAGGTAATATGCATGATGGATCTTCTTCATCATCAAGGGTCATCCAAATCATCAAAGTACCATCTTTAAGTGTGAGAGTGTCATGTAGTTTTAGACCTTCTATCGGTTCTTCATAAATGTACCATATATCCTGAGGTGACATGTCTTGGGGTGGTGTGTTTAGTGATGATACATTTTGAGGTAATATATCTCGAGATAATACATTTTGAGATGTGACAAAAAAGCAACAGATAGAGGTTAAATATATAAAGATGGTCAACATCTTTGCCAAATTGAACATTTTTAACATTTTTATTAGAGACTTGGTGGGAAAATGTGTGTAAAAAATGTGGAAATAAATTAAGAGACTTGATTATTAGAGACTATATGGTAAAATGTGTGTGAAAAATATGGAAACAAATTTAGAGACTTGAAAAATTTTAAATTTTTACTCTGAGGGATTACAGAACATTTATATATGTTACTTGTCATTGTAATCTTGATTTATTATCAACTACTATTAATAACTTTTCTTTTAATCAAACATTTAAAATGTGTTTCAAAAAAAATATATTAATTATACTACCAAATTTGTATTTCAAAAACGATCTGCATTGTTTTATACACATGTGTAAAAAAACGTGCAACAAATATAATGGCTGAAAAATTTTGATACTAAAAATATTGTCCAACAAAAACAAGTGTTTGGTATATGCATTTAGTATCAAAGGAGTTACTAGTGAAACGTCTGTTACATGCCTAATTTATGATGAAAATAATTGTATGAAAATGATAATGATTTGCCTCATCATTCATCAAAATTTAATTTAGGAACATATAAAAAAATGTGTAACATTAGCTTGGATTATACAATTATATACGTAATTAATTTTATTTTTTTTTAATACATACTAGCAACAGCCCATTTGCTTCACACTGAGATATAGTAGATTATGCACACAAATAATATTCTGGAGACAAGCTTAAATTCTTCAAATTTATTAAATTTACCATAGTTTTAGTGATAAAATTATGATATCACTACTGGCAGAAAAGCTGACAATTTTTGACATGTATTATTACTCCTTTTCTATCACTCTGCTAGTATGTTTTATCTTTCTATGATTACTGGATACAAAATGGCGTAATAAACAAATGAATTATTCCTCATATATTATACCTAGACCATTACTTAATTTAGCGTAAAACAATGATAGAGAAGCGGTAACACAGCATAAAAAATGTATTGTTTAGAGCATCATTATATTAAATTTTAACACGAGACATTTCTATTGTTTAATTTTCATGATCAACATGATCAACATTCATTAATGGTTAAACCCAATCTATTTTAAGATAACAATCCGTAATAAATTACGGAGGCATGCTACACGTTACAGTAATACAACTCAAAATTAACTTATACAGAGTAATCTAAATATATATAATTTACTAGAGACAATTTATTACCCCTATAAAAATTTATTCCGTGTTTTTTATTCTTTGTTATTTCCGTAAATGTATCATATTCACGGAATTTATAGTCTCAAACATTGAAAATAATCCAAGTTGCTCAAGTTATTTTCCCGTAAATGTATCATATTCACGGAGTTTTCCAGAAATTACGTTTTACATATAAATAAATATTCTTATGAATAATAGTTAATGATTCTATTACTATTAAAATTAAAGTAATTATATTTTATTCCTATTACTTTATTATTATTACTGTTTAAAAAGAATTTAATAGTATTATTATTTAAAAAATTTATAAAATATTTATAGTATTAATAACTAAAATCGCAATAAATATATTGTGCGTCAATATTGCCCAATATTATAACGCCTTAAGTGGGTTGGCCAGCATTACTAGGCCTGAAGCAAATCGCACAACATTTATACTACAATATGTAAATCCATCATCATCCATATATCGCACAATCTCTTGCTTTCATGGTTCCAAACTTGTGAAGGAAAATGAAAATGAGAAAAAAGAATATGAAATGAGGATAAAGAAAGTGGGGAGGAGAAAAATTATTCTCTTAATACCGTGACTTATGTAATTTATTCTAGTAACATTTCACGAATATGTAAATTCATAGAAAATTCAGATGTACAATGAATCCTAATATCCGTGCGTTAATAATTGTTGATACTTGATATAGCAATTTAACAAATCTAATTCCTAATTTTTTTTTTAAAAAGGAAAAAAATTAAAATTTTGTAAAAATTAGTTATATAACTGATAAACTCCGAATTGGCGCATGCGGGGTTGGATGACTAATAACCTAAATATCATCGAGGGTGATGATCACGACTACCAAAAATTAGGGTGGAGTTTTCGAGAAGAGTTTTAAAATTAAAAATTCCGTCTGAAATTTCGCCATGGTTATCAACCACTGGCGCAGCCAAATGCCAGCATGTACTAATGTTAAAATATTTTTTATAAAATATTCCCTATAGGATCACACTAGAAATTAATTTACAAATTTACGTAAGCTCCTTTTCCGCAACTACCAAAATTTGGTTCTGCTGCAGTCAAATGCTGACATTGCATTAAAAACAATTTATTAGCGTTAGGCTATAGTCTACATTTATTGTTAACGTTTCAAATATGACGGAGTTATTAATTAATCCTTTCGACCTTATCTTACTTAAGATTTTATCCCATCATATTTAGATTATGTGATACCTGCGGCTAATTTAAATTATGCAATTAAAAATGAGAAAACATCTTTGAATCATATGCTGTATAATAATATTTCGATATGGATCTGTATAGCATAAAAATTGTATAAAAAGATTATTATTAACTATTCATCAACGTCAAAATCAATAATAGACAATCCTTCAGTGCGGAACATCGTCTTTCATTTTTACTCTAAATTCCTTCACTTTTAGCCCCCCTACATCCTTTTCATTTTTTTTTTTTTACGAAACTAGAAAAATAAAATTTTGATTTTTTTCTTTCATAAAAATCTGCTTTTATAAATAAAATGGCACGAATTTCTTGGGTTGTACTTTAGTCTTTGCTGTTCGCTACGCTTTAAATTCTCGTAGTGAATTATCATTACGCCCAGTAAATAGTTTTTGTATAAATTTGTACCAAATGGGCTCATCCATATATAATTGGCTCTAGATTGGCTTAATTTTTTGCATAAATTTGAGCTAATTTCAAGCCAATGAGCCCTTTTGGTATAAATTTATACAAAAACCCTATAAAAAAGTTTGTGCTAAATTCGTGCCAAATGGGTTAATCATACGATATTTGTTTAGAATTTGTTCGAATTTATATTATTTTTTAGTACAAATTTTGAATAAATGTTGTATGATTAGCCCGTTTGGCACAAATTTAGCACAAACCTTTTTTATAGGGAAACTATTTACTGAGCCGGTAGGCAAGAAAAGCAATTGTTTTTTCTTTGAGAATTTTTAATAATTTTTAAAAATTTTATTTAGTATGATAGCCAGAAACATTCCGTGGAACTAACCAATCTTAATTATTACGCAAGAGAATAACAACTGCTAAAGGAAAACGTTACAATAATCCATTTCCAAATTATCATAGAAGAAGTGTAAAATAAGTCATTTTTCTAAACTTGAAGAAGCATTAAATAATGAAAATTTTGTTATTAAACAGAATCTTTGACTTTTAAAATTATTATATATAATGTATGTAAAAGAGAAAAATTTTTAATAAAATATGTATAATACTGTATGTGTTAGATTTCGTTTAAAATTTTTTTTTCCTTTAATTATTTACTTATTCAAATATTGTAACGGATCTTTTTTTTTTATCATAATATAACTTATTATGTGGCCACTGGCCAATAATAAGTAAATGTTAATATTATAAATTCACATTATATTTTGATTGGATGAAAAAAATATTTTAGACTTAAATAAAATGCAGAATGTTTTATATTTTTGGGTGCAACAAATCATAACAAAATTTGTGCATATTATTTATTAAAATTAACTTAATCCAAACAAACACAAAATAAAATAAAATAAAATAAAATAAAATAAACATATCTCAGTAGTCAAAAGCTTTTTTTAAAAAAATTAAGCAAATAATAAAATATTTATTGCGTTAATTAAAAACGGTGAAACAATAATTTTCAACGTGCATAACTAATATGTTAATCGAAATTAATGGAAACTTCTAATTTTCTAGCTAGGTTTTCCATTTATAAATTTTTATTATTAAGTTCTTATAAATTATAATTACCATATAAAGGAATTTTTTGAGGGCTATTTTCACAATTTTTAATAGTAAAAAAGAAATATGTTTTAGCAAAGGATTTGAGATACAAAAGATAACGTAATGCTAAATTTAATTACACGCACAATTGAACCAACAAAAATCATGTTTCTTTTATTTTTGCTTGTCTAATTAATGTAATAATGCATTATCAGATATTACAATCAATAATGTATGTATTTAAAATAACTATCCTTTGAGGTTTTCATTTTGATAATTCTTTTAGTATGGACAAAATTAATGATTGACATTCACGTGAGTACGAACGTTGTATTAACGACTGCGGTAATTGGCATGTACGTATAGAAATTTCAATATTCCGAATATTTTAATTCAAAAACTCCATGAATTCACATGTACACAGTAAGATTGGCTTGAGAAACTTTTCTTTTGCGCTTACTAATAGAGATAAGACGTCTTTTTATATCGTGAAGTTGATACGGACTTTATTCCGATTCAAAAAAATAGACGTTAATTATTAACCAAATATAGGCTATTTATTTCCCGACCTGAACTTTATTTTATCTTTTCTTTTTTTATAGGACAACAAGAAAAAATTGTGAGAAAAGGAATATGAAAGAAAACGAAATAAGGAACTTTCTTTCGCAAAGTATCATCGATGAATTTTTAAATGGGTTAAAGTCGAAGAATTATTCATAAACTAATATTATTACTACCAATGAAAGAACTACGATTCTATATCAGTTTTTTATATGAGATATATATATATATTGATGATAAATAAAAATTAGTAAGGATCGACCTTATATATTTATTTTAATTACATACAGAAATTGTTTTGATCACTCACCTATAATAAATTTTAACGGTAAAGTTTTAAGTTATCAAAAAAGAATCAAATTTTATAATTAAATAATTGCATATTTGCATTTATTAATGAAAGGAACATCGCTCAATCTTTTATCCGAAAAAAAAGTTGATTTGCGCGAATAAATTAAATGAATATTACGCTCATACTAAATTTATAAATCAAGAGATGTTCTTCTAGATCATCGTTTATGAGCATCATATGCAAGAATACGCGTAAAAATACAAAAAGTAAAAACCTAATAATACTACTTGATTATCATTTATCAATGTAAAGCCATTATTACTTTAATACTAATAATTTTTAAATTTATA